AAGAAGAAAAAATAAAATTAATGTATGCAGGCGATTGCGTGATGTCGTTTCCCCCAACCAAATAATTGTCGACAAAATTTAATTAATTTTTTTAGATGCTTAAAAAGAATGTGCTTATACCAGTGTTTATAATATTCAAAAATACGCCTCAGAAAAATGTACATCTATCTCATGATTTGCATAGCAGATAACATTTTTCAAGAAGTCTCGAATTCATAGGATGCATGGACGCGAACTCAACGTGAATTGTAGATTCTAAAAATGTCTCTAAAGAAGGTAAAGAAAAGAGGGATAATATATATATATATATATCGTGTAAATCCTGAGATTGGAAGTATTTATCTGAGGTAAAAAGATTGCAAATTTTTCGCCAAAAATGAAGCCACCAACTCAATATATGCACTTGATTGTGTCAAGCTCGCGTGAATATCAAACATCGTCAAAAGTGATTATCAAATGTCGCGCAAATCGGGAGATAACCGTACATTCTTGATTGTCGAAATCGTGCGCAATTAGAAAAATTGTGAAAATTGTTAGACGGCTTGTTTAACGACCTTTCCAATGCCTTACAGCAAACGCTCTATTAAGCAAGCAAACCTATTTACATTTACGTCATTACAGATATCATCAAATTTTTGCCTTTAAGCATTTTTTCTTATAGCCTTGTTGGCTAACGATATTTTTATTAATTAAATTGGTGTGGATGTGTGCAACACCCAGAAGGACTTGAGATAGACTCATGTTTTATTATGCAAATCAATGCAGAATAACTTGCTGAATCGATTTAAGTTTTGTCTGTCCGTCCCGATTGTGTTTTCGTCTAAGGACACACGCTGTTGAAAATTGTTCGGATCGCATCACTTTCCCGACCACTTTCCCTAGAAGCGTGCACTTTGAAAAGTCATTACAAGAATGACACAAAGTGGTGTAGAATATTTAGCGGATCGGCTATATGGCCCGTTATAGTGTTTTCGCTTGTTTATATGAATGCTTGTTGCGCTTTCATATCATTTCAACGTTAAAGAGGACAAAAAATGAAATTTTTGCGACTCTATACAACTATTATAACTGAGCTTAACTACATTCATATGAAGTATGTGTGAAAGAGTTTTAACGTTGCATCTGTTGCACTATAATTCATGAGAAATATAGAAAAAAAACAATGAATTTTTTTTTGTTTTTTGCTTTTGAAAGCAATTTTGTCCCTAACTTATTTTCTACGGTAATCGTCATCTGTGAGCAAATTGTGTCTTTTGCAGTAAAAAGGAACGTTCGAGATGTTCTAATGTTTTTGCTTCCTATATTTGAAATTTGATGATGCAATTTTCGCAATCAATAACATGGACAGAATGGGCAGACATGCCTGGATAACAATATATACGTATGTATACTTTATAGAGTTGACTTTGTAATGTCCGTCCGTCCATCATCCATTCACGCTTCCGTTACCACTTCGAAATGACTTTAATTTCTGTATATATGTATATTTCGTCGATCAATTTCGAAAGTAGCGTTAAGCAGTCTATTAGTTCAAAGTTATAGAATAAAATGTAAAAAAATTTTTGAAATCTATATCAAATATCTATAACTGTAATTTCGTTCAAAATATTTATGAGAATCACAAAAAAGTGCAATCAAAATAGAGATGCAACACACAAACAGGCATACCTCCAATAATATATTTACGAAAATGATATATATTCGAAATGACGCTTTCACAGCTTTTCATAATATTCACCGAGTTATTCTGATAGATATACTTGGAAATAACTGGATTAGATAGATAATGCGTTATTTACGATTTAAACCGTAAATAAATTCAAATATCAGATTATATCATATATATGTTTTTTTCTTTTGTCTTTTTTTTTTTCATTCTACGGTGCGAAATTGTTATCACTATATATTATCCGTCCCTCTGTTTCTCTCTCTCTCTCTCTCTCTCTCTCTCTCTCTCTCTCTCTCTCTCT